CGATTTCTGAAGACGCCTTCGTGACAGTCATCATCGGCGGCCTCGGTCCTCAATGGCACACCACAAAGGCCATTCTCTGAGCTCACAAAAGAATCTCCGAAGCAGCGCTCTGCGCCGAAATCCACGCCGAGCAGCAAGACATGGACCTGCAAGAAGAACGACACAGAAAGAAGACATCAGCACCAGAATTCGCGTTCCACACCCAACGACGCTACAACAACAACAACAACAACCGGCAGCTACAACCGAAGCCAGTACCTCCGTTCTGCCACATCTGCAAAACTTCAGGACACCCGCGTACACACTGCCTGAATCGTCAACAGTCAACAACTCCACAGCGGCAACTTCGACCTTCAAGCAGCCAAATCGCCTCAACGCAAGCAAATCCCACGACTCAGATTCAAGCCTCAACGACCTCAAGAGGACAACCTGCACAAGGAGCAAGAAACATCGTCAGCTGCATGGCAAAGCTGAGTGACTCCTGCATCACCGAGTCACCACCACACTACTCACCGGAAGAACAACTCGACGAAACGACACCCCGCTGCGAGTCACTTTAGCCGAACCCAACATACGCCGCCATCGCCCAAAGCGAACCATCCGGAAGGGACACATGGTTCCTGGACAGTTGTTGCGGACAGCACATGTGCTCCTCGGGACCCATCGTTCAACGAGAACACCAACTTCAACGCGAAGTTGTCATTATAGTCGCCAACAATCATAACCTGCGAACACGACGACAAGGCGTAGTTCAACTTCAGTCAAGGGAAACAAACGTTATACTGCAGATGTCAAAAGTACTAATCGCGGAGGGACTCGGCTACAACTTACTGAGCGTCAGTCAGCTAATGGCGAAAGGGATTCACCTCGAAGCAGACAGCACCACCCAAGAATTCAAGCTGTATCACGGGAGAGGAGGACTCTACATCGGCAAGGCGGTCCTCAAGAACAACGTCTTCGTTCTTGACTTCGTTCCTGACCTTGGCATCGACGACAGCGACGCCATCGTTAACTTCACCAACTGGACACACCCTCCAGATCTTGATCCAGACTTCAGTCCAGAAGGCTTCTGGTATTCACACACCATCCTCGAAGCAGAAAGAACAAGGGCGTTAGCAACAATTCAGACAACATCAGCAGCAGCAGAGACAACATCGACAGCAGCAGAGACAACATCAGCAGCAGCAGAGACAACATCGGCAGCAGCAGAGACAACATCGGCAGCAGCAGAGACAACATCGACAGTAGCAGAACCATCAACGGCAGCAGCAGGAACGTCAACACCAATTGCTGGTCCTTCAACGACACCGGTCCTCATCGACGACACACCACCAACACCCGCGCAACAACTACACCCAGCACCACGAGAAGTTCATCGTAGCGCCAACTTCACCGCCAACTTCTACTCCAACTCCGATATGTACCGACGATCACCCGGACATCGCGCCGACGAAAGCACCTGGCACGCAAGGATGGGACACCCAAGCAACACAGTATTAAACAATACGATAAGAGCAGGAGTACTCGACAAGGACTCACTCCTACTGACCGACGGACGAGAACTTCAACGAGTACGCGGAACGTGCCTCACCTGCCCTGAAGGTGACTTACCACATCGACCGTTTGCGTCTCATCACAACCCGAGCGCTCCCGCGTATGTACCACTCGAGAAGGTGTATAGCAACATCCTGTTCAATCGGGAACCAGGACAAGTAACATACAACTACACAATCACCTTCATCGACGCCGCCACCTGTTACGTCTGGCACCTAAACCTCTCTAGCCGCGACATGGCATTCGAAGCCTTCGTTGCCTGGCTACCAGTAGCAGAGAGAGAATCGGGCGTGAAACTGAAAAGCTTCCAGTCAGACGGAGGAGGAGAATACACCTCTCAGCGATTCAAGCAGTACCTGGCGGAAAGGGGAATCAAGCGGCTCATCTCCCTTCCCTACGCCCATCAGCAGCAAGGTGTAGCAGAAAGAATGAACAGGACCTTGCAGAACAGCATGCGCAAACTGTTACGTGGCATGCGACTACCCAACCACCAGTGGCCTGCGGCAATGGACCACGCCGTCATGCTGCACAACTTGCTCTCGTCATCATCGCTTCCAAACAACGCATCACCGCATCTGCTATGGACAGGGAAGCAGGGCAGCACAAAAATGTTACGAGTATTCGGATGCATGGTACAGTACCGACCCCCAGCAGCACGAGCGGGCCGATTTTCTCAACGAGCACAGTGGGGACTACACCTGGGAATCGAAAAGAACTACAACGCGTGGAAAATCTTCGACGTCCATTCCAAGGAAACAGTAGCAGCACGTGATGTAATTTTCTACGAACGACTCACGCTCCAGACATACCTTGCCAGCCTGCAAGAACACCAGGATCCCACATGTGGTTTTCGCGGTGACCGAGCCTTCGCCTTAGCAGCGGACGAAGCTGACTGGGACGAGAAGAATGTGGACAACGCATCAGAAGAAGCCGGACCTCTTCCGTTCTGCTCCGTCGACGTTCCCATGGACGAAGATAACCCTCGCGAAAGTGTCAACGCCGAAACCTTCTACCATTTCGCTGACAACGGTTACGTAACACCTGCGACAGTCAACACCAACGAAGCAGAACGAGTAGGACCGAACTTCATACCTGATCCAGAAGCGGGAGATGAAGCAGCTTATCCCGAGGACGTAAATCTTCTCCGCTACTCACAGAGTGGACTGCAGATTCTCGGACTCGTCACCGCAGTTCACGGCACCGCCACTCCTAAAGAGCCTGCGACAGTTCAACAGGCTCTGGGGGGGGGAACATAAGGAAAAATGGCGCAAAGTCATGGACAAGGAACTGAAGGCACTGGAGGAACGCAACACGTGGAAAGTGGTTCCTATCGGCGTGGCACGGAACAAGACAGTGCTCACCGGGAAGTGGGTCTTCCGTGTGAAGACAAAGGTTGACGGCACCATTGACAAGTTTAAAGCTCGCTGGGTTGTACGCGGCTTCGACCAAGAACACGGACGAGACTTCACCGAAACCTTCGCTCCGGTTAGCCGCCACACCTCACTACGCATTCTCCTCGCAATCGCCGCCATAAAGAAGAAGAAGCTGCGACAAATCGACGTCGCGAACGCGTTTCTCTACGCACCTGTTGATGCAGAAATCTTCGTCGAGCTATCGCACGGCTCTCACAGAGAACCCAACCAAGTCTGCCAGCTTCTCAAGTCACTCTACGGCATCAAGCAAGCTCCGCGACTGTGGCAACAGTACCTGCACGCTCGCCTCATCCACATCGACTTCAAGCAACTACCGCACGATCAAGGCATGTACCGGCTCACTAAAAACGACGACTACATCCTACTAATCGTCTACGTGGACGATCTCCTTTACATCGGCTCAACTGACGGCATCACCACCTGGTTCGAAGGGGAGCTGCAACGGGATCTCACGCTCACAGTTTCATCTACCGTCACTCAGTACCTCGGCCTCAACATCCGGGAAGAGGAGGACGCGATCTACCTCAGCGCCGAGAAATATGCTGTTATCGCCAAACGCTTCACGCTCACACCGACAGCCATCTCCACGCCATACCGATACACGGCAGGGAACGACAAAGGAAACTCTGCTCTACTTAAGCCCGCCGGCATACGAGACTACCAGAAGAAGCTGGGATGTCTTCTCTTCGCAGCCGTCACCTGTCGCCCCGACCTCTCATACTCCGCAAGCCAGCTCGCCACCTACCTCAAGAAGCCTGAAGTAGAACATCTGGCGGAGCTCGACCGCGCTCTACACTACTTCGTCAACACCCCAACGATCGGCCTAACTTACTACAAGAACGCAACCACACCGACTAAGCTAATCGGCTACGTCGACGCTGATCACGCTAGCGACTCAGACAATAGGCGCTCTCGCACCGGCTACATCTACCGCCTCGAACCTATCGGACCTATCTCCTGGCAATCGAGCAAGCAGGAATTAATTGCTCTCTCGTCAGTTGAAGCAGAATATATTGCACTCTGCTCAGCCACCAAGGAAAGACTCTATTTTCGCGAGCTGCTGGAAGAAGCGAAGTTAGCCGAGTTACCCAACTTTACCCTGTTCTGCAACAACCAGTCGGCAATTCGCATCGCCAACAAGAACGGCTTCGCGAACAGGACGAAGCACATCGCCGTGCGATATTTCTTCGTGAAGGACGAGATCGAGAAGGGAAGGCTCGAGCTGTCATACTGCCCCACGTCCGAGATGGCAGCTGACTACCTGACCAAGAAGCTCGGAAAGTAGAAATTCGAATACTGCATGCTGCTGACTGGACAGAGCCACATCAGCGACACTCTAGAAGCGAAGGGGAGTGTTGGAAACAATCGGTCCTAAGCGCCTCTGTCGTTTCAAAACACTAAGGCACAAGCGAAGCAAAGCATATCGAAGCACCAGCGAGTCAACCCTCGGAGGTTGAAGTAATTGCTGGAGGTTACGCGAAAGTCAAAGGTCAGCGACCTTTGACCTGACAAATACAGCGTGACAGCAAGGACACACAACTGACTCGTTACAGAGCAGTTGCCCGAGTCGTCACTGTATCAAACCGCAACAGCAACAGTAAAGTAGTTATAACTGTGTGTTTTCATATTCCCTATATTTATATATAATCTTGTATCTCTTTGCTTTAATCAACTTACTTTGCCCTCACATACTAGCGCAAGGTGGTACGCAACTCTTTATTAACGCTTCTGCTACTACACCAACTCTACCCAGAGTTCACCCCTGCAAAGATCCTAAGGGCTTTTTCAGCCCAACAATTCATACCATTACAACATGCTAAGGTACGGGTATGATAACTTGCAGAGTTAGCAAGGGGCCAGACATATAATACAACAACGTGCCACACGGCATTCCTCATGCATGCAGCCGTGGCTTGGATTGGATCCATAACCACCAGCAGCAGCAGCAGCAGCAGCAGCAGCAGCAGCAGCAGCAGCGACATACTGTATTCACTTCTGCCTCCAACGCGTGCCTTACAGCACACACACACGGTATCTACCGTAAGACGCCTCAAAACTAGCAACAGCACAAGGACCCCCAGACCAGATCAGAAGGTCCTCAGGCGACCCAACGATCTCCCACCCACCCAGCCTACGGTACTGCCAAAGCACCCTGGCCCAAAGAGCACCGCACGTGCAGTCTGAGCGCAAAGAGCACTGCACCGCACGTGCTGCTGGGTGCCTTCTGAATCGACACACAAGCCAGTCAGTCGCTGGTTGATTTTGCACCGGCAGCCTTGCTGGTGGTTCAGTCTCACTTCTTCTCCCTCCCCTTGGGTTTCTTCACACACGACTGCTTATCAGCTGTCTGCACATACCCACTCTCACACAAACAGTTTGGGTCCACCCCCACCCCCACCCTCCCCCTCCCCCATCTCTCCCCTCTTGGCAAACCAGGTGACTCCTGAGTCGAGTTACGTGGAAGACACCTGGCAGTTACGGTAGGCCTCACTTCCTCTTCCGCCCCTTGGGTTTCTTCACGCAGGACTGCTTGTCAGCTGTCTGAACATACCCTGCGTCACACAAACAGTTCGGGTCCACCCCCTTGGCAAACCAGCATGCCCCGTGCCCCCCGCACGGGTTCTCCCCTGCGTTGCAAAACCTCTTGCACGTGCTGGCAGCAACCTGGGTCTGCACCCTCCCGGCCTGGTAGCACGCGGAGGTGGTGGGGTATGTGAGGCAGTTGTATGCAATGGAAGACTGGTAGAAGATGCCTCGGCGGGTCTGGTCTTGAGGGCAGGAGGTGACGCCGCCGGCAGTGACAGAGGCAGGACCGTAGAAGAAGTTGTGGTGCAGGTTGTATTGGCCGGCTGACAGGATGGTGCCGTTCTTGAAGCCGGTTGGCAGTGGACCGGACAGCATGTTGTCGTGTAGGTTGCTGCGATGGGGTGAGGAGGAAGGGGGAAGGGGAGATGGTGGATGGGAGTTTGCCAGAGGATTGGTGGTGCAGGCTGGCTGAGTGGAGAGATTATGTGCAGAAGAGTGAAGGGAGAGTGGAGAGGAGGAGGGAGAGAGAGAGAGAGAGAGAGAGAGAGAGAGAGAGAGAGAGAGAGAGAGAGAGAGAGAGAGTGCTAGAAGGGGAAAGGGAGGACTGCTACTCACCACGCTCTGCGGGATGAGATAGCAAACTTAGGGGCTGATGCGGGCTTTACGGTGCACAAAGAGACGTATGCCTACTCTCTGGTTGAAAACCTTAAGGCGGATGTCACCATCCGTCATCCCCTGACTGGAGAGGTGTGGATGTGCAACGTGACCGTAACGGACCCGGTGTCTTACCAGAACGAGAACTGCAACCGTGCTCCGGGATGGGCGGCTAGGGCGGCAGCAGCTAGGAAGGAGGAGAAGTACGCTCGCAGGAACGCGTGGGTGGGGTTCCACGCGCTTGCAGTGGAGACTTACGGATACCCCTCACCAGGGGTGATGGCTTGCCTGCGGCAATGCGCGGATTTGGCGGCAAAGCTGCGGTTTAACGCAGCACCAACCTCTTACGAAGCAGCTAAGCTGCTGACAGAGTACCGCCAGCGCTGGAGCATGTGCCTCCAGCGGGCGCAGGCCAATGCCCTCCGCACCAAGACCAACGAGGCCTTGGCGGCGGACGAGCTTGGCTTTCGGGGTCCCATCATCCCTCGCAGTGAGGGACAGCTGCACCAGCTGATTGAGGCCCCGTTCGACCAGTAGGGTCGGACAGAGGGGGGGGGCAGAGTAGGTAGGGGACTTGGAATAGTTAGGATGCCGGTTTTCTGTTGAGCTTGTGCTTGTGTGTTTTGCACCTTCCGTTGTACCACCCCCCAAAGAAATGCAAGGACCATTCGAGAGAGAGAGAGAGAGAGAGAGAGAGAGAGAGAGAGAGAGAGAGAGAGAGAGAGAGAGAGAGAGAGAGAGAGAGAGAGAGAAAGAGAGAGAGGAGAGAAGTGAAGTGAGCGTACAGCAGAGTGAGCTTACAGAAGGTTTAGTTTGGGCAGAGAGAGGATGCCTCGAGGGAGGGAGCCAGAGAGATCGTTGCTCTCCAGGTAGCTGCGAGGGGGGAGATGGGAGAGGGTGGGGGAAGACACGTGAACGAAAAAAAGTGTTTTGAGACATCTCAGAACACGCCTCGAGAAAGGGAGCCATAGAAATCGTTGCTCTCCAGGTAGCTGATAGAAGATGGGGGAAGGTGGTTGGGAGGATTGTGGATGACTTTTGAGTCGACTCAAAAGAGCGTGGGGGAAGGTGGTTGGGAGGATTGTGGAAGTCGACTCAAAAGAGCGTGGGGGAAGTCGGTTGGGAGGATTGTGGATGACTATGGCGTGAACATAAGCGTTGCTGTCCAGGTAGCTGCGAGGTGGGAAGGCAGAAGAGCGTTGGAGAAGGTGGGAGAGCATTGGAGAAGCGGGAGAGGGCAGCAGGAAGGCGGGAGAGGGCAGCAGGAAGGCGGGAGAGGGCAGCAGGAAGGCGGGAGTGGGCAGCAGGAAGGCGGGAGTGGGCAGCAGGAAGGCGGGAGTGGGCAGCAGGAAGGCGGGAGTGGGTGGTGGGAAGGCGGGAGTGGGTGGCAGGAAGGCGGGAGTGGGTGGCGGGAAGGCGGGAGTGGGTGGCGGGAAGGCGGGAGTGGGTGGCGGGAAGGCGGGAGTGGGTGGCGGGAAGGCGGGAGTGGGTGGTGGGAAGGCGGGAGTGGGTGGCGGGAAGGCGGGAGTGGGTGGCGGGAAGGTGGCAGGCGAGTGAGTGAATATGGTGTGAAGATAATATTCTGCTTTGGGATAAGATATGGTGTAGAGGTTAGAAATGCGGTGTAAGACATTGGGACAGAGCGAGCATGGCAAGAGGCAGCATGGCAAGAGGCAGCATGGCAAGAGGCAGCATGGCAAGAGGCAGCATGGCAAGAGGCAGCATGGCACGAGACAGCATGGCATGAGGCACAGCAGTGCACTGGTGACTTAATGGAGCAAGCCGGCAGAGGAGGGATTCACAGCACAGTGAGCTCCTTGAGGGGACTGATGACATCCAGGCATAGGGGCAGCATGGGATCACACCACTAACACCTTGAAGCATAGGGGCAGCATGGGATCACACCACTAACACCTTGAAGCATAGGGGCAGCATGGGATCACACCACTAACACCTTGAAGCATAGGGGCAGCATGGGATCACACCACTAACACCTTGAAGCATAGGGGCAGCATGGGATCACACCACTAACACCTTGAAGCATAGGGGCAGCATGGGATCACACCACTAACACCTTGAAGCATAGGGGCAGCATGGGATCACACCACTAACACCTTGAAGCATAGGGGCAGCATGGGATCACACCACTAACACCTTGAAGCATAGGGGCAGCATGGGATCACACCACTAACACCTTGAAGCATAGGGGCAGCATGGGATCACACCACTAACACCTTGAAGCATAGGGGCAGCATGGGATCACACCACTAACACCTTGAAGCATAGGGGCAGCATGGGATCACACCACTAACACCTTGAAGCATAGGGACACCTTGATCACATCATGCAGCAAAGCAGGGCAGGCACTCACAGCACGGTGAGCTCTTTGAGGCACTCACAGCACGGTGAGCTCTTTGAGGCACTCACAGCACGGTGAGCTCTTTGAGGCACTCACAGCACGGTGAGCTCTTTGAGGCACTCACAGCACGGTGAGCTCTTTGAGGCACTCACAGCACGGTGAGCTCTTTGAGGCACTCACAGCACGGTGAGCTCTTTGAGGCACTCACAGCACGGTGAGCTCTTTGAGGCACTCACAGCACGGTGAGCTCTTTGAGGCACTCACAGCACGGTGAGCTCTTTGAGGCACTCACAGCACGGTGAGCTCTTTGAGGCACTCACAGCACGGTGAGCTCTTTGAGGCACTCACAGCACGGTGAGCTCTTTGAGGCACTCACAGCACGGTGAGCTCTTTGAGGCACTCACAGCGCGGTGAGCTCTTTGAGGCACTCACAGCACGGTGAGCTCTTTGAGGCACTCACAGCACGGTGAGCTCTTTGAGGCACTCACAGCACGGTGAGCTCTTTGAGACGGCTGATGCCGTCCGGGATGGTGCCCGTGAGCTGACCGTTGTCCAACAGACTGAGGGGCGCAAGGGGGGAGGGGGAAGGGGAGGTGGGGAGGGGGAGGGGGAAGGGGTGGACGGGGAAGGGGGTAGGGAAAAAAGGGATGTAACCGTTAAAAGGGCCCAACGCAGCCCGAAGCCCAACGCTGCTTGAGGTAGAGAGCGGCAGTTCTGCAGAATGGTGAGCAGAAAAAGGTCTTGTCGTGGCATGGCATGTCATGGCGTGGCATGGCATGCATGGTATGATCTAATGTGACGGATCTAATGTGACGAATGAAACACGGCGAGCTTAGTAAGGTGCATGTCTGCATGCCACACGGTGCCACACGTTGCTACACGGTGCCACACGGTGCCACACGTTGCTACACGGTGCCACACGGTGCCACACGTTGCTACACAGTGCCACACGGTGCCACACATTGCTACACGGTGCGTACATGCGTGAGAGTTTGGTGAGCTTGGAGATGGTTGCAGGGATGGTGCCGTTGAGAGGGGCAAACTCAGACACCCTGCGGTGAGGAGCGGTGGGGAAGGGTGTGAGGGGGGAGAAAGGAGCAAGAGGAGAGAAGAAGCTTGAAGAGAAGTAAAGATGGGTAAGAAGATACAGGCTGTGTGAAAGTAGCATGCAATAGCAGCAGCAGTGCTGAAAACCTGTGATACGGCAAGGAGCGGGTGAGGAGCAGTGAGGAGCGATGAGGGGCGGTGAGGAGGGGTGAGGAGGGGTGAGAAGGCGAGCACGTATAGGTCGGTGAGGCTCTTCATGTTGCCAGGTTGGCCGTGAGGAGTGGTGAAGAACGGTCAGGACCGGTGCTGACAAGGGACTTACAGGTCGGTAAGGCTCTTCATGTTGCCCAGGTTGGCCGGCAGAGTGCTTTGCAGATAGGGGTTGCTGCTTATGAAGCTGATTAGTAGGGGAGGGGGGGGGGGGGGTGGGAGGTAAAGAGAAAGAGAGGAGAGGGAGGTGCGTCTATGGACGTTGGGGGGCTTACAGGAAACACGTTGGGGGGCTTACAGGAAACACGTTGGGGGGCTTACAGGAAACAAGTAAATGGACAGACGCGAGCAGAGATAAGAGGATGGGAAGAGGGAGGTGGGGGCTGAGAGGATGGGCAGAGGTGGGTGGGGCTGAGAGGTTGGGCAGAGACGGGTAGGCGGGGTGGGGCTGAGAGGTTGGGCAGAGACGGGTAGGCGGGGTGGGGCTGAGAGGTTGGGCAGAGACGGGTAGGCGGGGTGGGGCTGAGAGGTTGGGCAGAGACGGGTAGGCGGGGTGGGGCTGAGAGGTTGGGCAGAGACGGGTAGGCGGGGTGGGGCTGAGAGGTTGGGCAGAGACGGGTAGGCGGGGTGGGGCTGAGAGGTTGGGCAGAGACGGGTAGGCGGGGTGGGGCTGAGAGGTTGGGCAGAGACGGGTAGGCGGGGTGGGGCTGAGACGGGTAGGCGGGGTGGGGCTGAGACGGGTAGGCGGGGTGGGGCTGAGACGGGTAGGCGGGGTGGGGCAGAGACGGGTAGGCGGGGTGGGGCTCACAGGATGGCGGGGTGGGGCTCACAGGATGTTGAGGTTGGTGAGACGCGTGAGGGTGATGGGGAGTGGACCGATGAAGCTGTTCTGATTGATGAAGCTGCACGGAGGGAGGGAAAAGTTGGGGAAGAGAGGGGCGAGAAGGGGGGAGAGAGGTGGAGAGAGAGTGAGAAGGGGAGCGGATGGTGGGAGGCATGGTGATAGGCATGGTGGGAGGCATGGTGGGAGGCATGGTGGGAAGGAGGCATGGTGGGAAGGAGGCATGGTGGGAGGCATGGTGGGAGGCATGGTGGGAGGCATGGTGGGAAGGAGGCATGGTGGGAGGCATGGTGGGAAGGAGGCATGGTGGGAGGCATGGTGGGAGGCATGGTGGGAGGCATGGTGGGAGGTGAAGCCCGAAACCCCCCACGTACAGGTTGGTGAGTGCCCCACGTGCGTAAACATGCACCCCCCCCGTACAGCACATGCCCATGTGCACATGCCCAGAACCCCCACGTACAGGTTGGTGAGCGGCATGATGGTGCCGATGCTGGATGGCAGCACGCCGTCAAACTTGTTCGTGTCGATGTACCTGGTCGGGTGGGGGGAAGGAGAGGAGAGGAAGGGCGGAGGGGCGGAGGAGCACGGGGTTAGCGCGTGGCAGTGTCGGTGTATTTTGCGGGGGAGGGGGACGGAGTGGTGTGGTGGAGTAAGCGAGAAACGCATGGAGAGGGGCACGGCGCATGAGCGGAGTGGTGTGGTGGAGTAAGCGAGAGACGCATGGAGAGGGGCACGGCGCATGAGCGGAGTGGTGTGGTGGAGTAAGCGAGAGACGCATGGAGAGGGGCACGGCACATGAGCGGAGTGGTGTGGTGGAGTAAGCGAGAGACGCATAGAGAGGGGCACGGCACATGAGCGGAGTGGTGTGGTGGAGTAAGCGAGAGACGCATGGAGAGGGGCACGGCACATGAGCGGAGTGGTGTGGTGGAGTAAGAGAGAGACGCATGGAGAGGGGCACGGCGCATGAGCGGAGTGGTGTGGTGGAGTAAGCGAGAGACGCATGGAGAGGGGCACGGCGCATGAGCGGAGTGGTGTGGTGGAGTAAGCGAGAGACGCATGGAGAGGGGCACGGCGCATGAGCGGAGTGGTGTGGTGGAAGCCTGAAACGACACAAGTTGGTTTGGTGAGTGGAAGGTGGGCCGGGGAGATGACTGTGCAGAGGTGGTTGCAGCATGGTGCAGGGTGGTGGAGTGTGGTGCAGATGTACGTTTGAGCTCACATGTAGTTGAGGTTCTTGAGCCGGCCGAGGCAGCTTGACACGGGCCCTGTGAAGCGATTGGCGCTCAGGCGCCTGGAGGGGAGGGGGGGAGAAGAGGGGAGGGGAGGGGGGGAGAAGAGGGGAGGGGAGGGGGGGAGGGGGGGGGTTGAGGTGGGGCGAACGAGATGAGACTGGTCATGGTGTGCACACGACAGTGGAAGAAGGGTGGAGTTGAGCAGATTGGCACGTGATGATGGTATTGTCATGGAGTTCGCGTCAAGTAAAGCATATAATCACGGAACTCACAGCTGGCGCAGGTTGGTCATGGTGCAGACTACAGTGGGGAAAGTGGAGTTGAGCAGATTGCTGGGTACATAGCTGCCATGAATGGCGGAACACGGGGTGAGAAGAGTGGTGTGGTGAGGAGCGGGGGTGAGGAGGAGGGATTAGAAAACCAGAAGATATGGAGTTGAGCAGGTGGTTGGGTTGGGTACGTAGCTGCCATGCGTGGGTGTGAGAAGAGCGTGCAGCATGGTACATGACAGCGCGGGGACTGGGGGAAGGCAAGCCTCATGCACATGCACACACGGCATGGGCGTGGAGAGAAGGTGACAATTCTTGCATGGTGACGAGGTTGGAGAAGGTGTCTGGTATGCCTCCCGTGAGAGCAATGCACACGGCACAGTCACACATGGCAGGGCATGGCATGGGCGCGCAGAAACTGACAATTTCTGCATGTTGACGAGGTTGGAGAAGGTGTCTGGTATGCCTCCCGTGAGGTAGTTGAGGTTCAGATGCCTGCGAGCCATGCAGCCGTGCACGCACACACAGGCACACACGGGCACAGGGGCACAAACACGGCATGCACACAGGGGCACACGCACAGAAGAACAGAGAGTCACACACGCAAACAGGGACAGGGCGAGAGGGAGCAACGATGGCGAGAGGGAGCAACGATGGCGAGAGGGAGCAACGATGGCGAGAGGGAGCAACGATGGCGAGAGGGAGCAGCGATGGCGAGAGGGAGCAGCGATGGCAAGAGGGAGCAACGATGGCGAGAGGGAGCAGCGATGGCAAGAGGGAGCAGCGATGGCAAGAGGGAGCAACGATGGCGAGAGGGAGCAACGATGGCGAGAGGGAGCAACGATGGCAAGAGGGAGCAGCGACGGCGAGAGGGAGCAGCGATGGCGAGAGGGAGCAACGATGGCGAGAGGGAGCAACGATGGCGAGAGGGAGCAGCGATGGCGAGAGGGAGCAACGATGGCGAGAGGGAGCAACGATGGCGAGAGGGAGCAACGATGGCGAGAGGGAGCAACGATGGCGAGAGGGAGCAACGATGGCGAGAGGGAGCAACGATGGCGAGAGCAGTGGGTTTATAGATGAACGGCAGTACATAAACGATGGATTTTTAGATGAACAGCAGTTCATAAACGATGGATTTATAGATGAACGACAGTTCTAAAGGATGGATTTACAGATGAACAGCAGTTCATAAACGATGGATTTATAGATGAATGGCAGTTCATAAACGATGGATTTATAGATGAACGGCAATTCATAAACGATGGATTTATAGATGAACGGCAGTTCATAAACAATGGATTTATAGATGAACGAGCCATGCTCCCAGCCGTTCAAACGAAGGATTAGAGACTGGACGCCAGCACTCACAGCTGGTACAGTTAGTCATGCCAATCGCCCCCCGCTACAGTCACATCACTATAACCCCCCCCCCCTTTATACTCACAGCTGATACAGGCTGGTCATGCGGCCCATGGAAGCTGGGATGGTGCCGTTGAGAAAGTTCTGATACAGCTGCCTGTGAGGGGAGGGGGAGAGAGAGGGAGGGGGGAAGGGGAAGAGGGGAGGATGGGAGACCATGGAAGCAGGGATGGTGCCGTTGAGAAAGTTCTGATACAGCTGCCTGTAGGGGGGAGGTGGGGAAGCGGGGGGAGAGGGGGGAAGGGGGTGAGGGGGGAAAGGAAAGGGACAGAGGAAGGGGGGAAGGGGACAAATACGTGTGAGAGGAAAGGGGAGGGGGCACGGGGAGCGCCGTGAGGGAGTAGGATGCTTGCCTTACCATTCATCTTGCATGCTTGTATGCATAGTGACTATTAATACAAAGGACCATTCGACGAAACGTGAGGGAAAGGGTTTGGAGTGAAGCAAAGGAGAGGGGAGGGCAAGGGGGGGCGGCAAACGGTACAGCGGGCAGGGCGAGCAGGGCCAGCGGGAAGTGCGGGGCGAGCGGGGAGTGCGGGGCGAGCGGGGCAGGGCGGGGCGTACAGGGCAGTGAGAGGCACTGACAGGTTCTTGAGTTTGACGAGGTTGCTGAAGGAGTTGGGTATGTCGCCATAGATCCAATTCTTCACCGCGAAGCTGATGAGGATGGGAAGGGGAGAACAGAGAATGGGATGGGTGCGCGCGAGAGGGAATGTCGCCGTAGGTCCGATTCTTGGCCGCGAGCTGATTCCTCGGGGCAACACGCAGAGGGCAGCACACCAGAGGCGAGAATATGGTCACGCACGAGAGGAAAAGACAGCAGTGAGAAGGCATGGGTGCATGTGATGGGACAGTGGAGAGGCACGGAGGCACATTAAGAAGCGGCGGCGGATGGCGGCCGCGGATGTGGCGAGAACGGCGGAAGCGGGACTTACAATTCCTCCATCTGGGTAAGCGAGGTGACTTTTGAGTCGACTCAGAAGCGGGACTCACAATTCCTCCATCTGGGTAAGCGCGCCGATGGCGGAGGGCAGCGTGGCGAAGAGCTCCTGGTAACTCATCTCCATGCGACGGATGTAGCCGTTCGTCCAGCACTGCACGAGCTGCCACGTGGCGCACGGATTGGTCGCCACCCAAGTGGACAGATCCGCTGTCTTTCCCCACACGGCCTTGAGCTCCATCATCGGCGCGACTGGCGGACGGGGGGAGGGGGGGAGGGGGGGAGGGGGGGGGGGGGAAGGGAGGGAAGGAAGGGGGGGGAGAGGGGAGGTAGGGGCAGAGAGTTGGAGGGAGAATTCGTCGCGACCCACGTGGACCAATCAGCAGTCTTGCCCCACACCGCCTTGAGCTCCATCATCGGCGCGACTGGCGGGGGGGGGATGGGAGGGAAGACGAGAGGAGGAAAGGAGAGGGCGAGAACAAAGGGAGGAGGACGAAGGCATGAAATGCGACCGAGAGGGAGCGAGGCGGGGAGAGATGCGGAGAATAGATGAGGGACGGATGGAGGGGCGGATGGAGGGGAAGAAGAGCGCGAGCGGTAAGCGCGGGAAGAGCGGTAAGCGCGGGAAGAGCGACCGTCCTACTCTGAGAGCTGTGCACGTAGACGGGAAGAGCAGTGAGTGTGACAATAAGTCGAAGAGACAGTGGGTAAGTCGACTGTAAAGAGCAGCCGTCTTACTCTGAGAGCTGTGCACGTAGACGGGAAGAGCAGTGAGTGTGACAATAAGTCGAAGAGACAGTGGGTAAGTCGACTGTAAAGAGCAGCCGTCTTACTCTGAGAGCTGTGCACGTAGACGGGCGTTCCCTTGGGAGTCACTTCACTCGTCGACACCCTCCCCTTCCCCCCTCCCTCCGCCGCCTCCTCCTCCGCTATAAAGTCTTCTACAGGCTCCTCCATTGCTGCTACTATCGAGTCCACGTATGTCGGGTCCGTCACGATTGGCCGCGTGTCCCGCTTCGGGACTTGCAGCCCGGGTGGTGGTTTGGATTCACGTGTGTCTGTCAGCAGTCCGTCTATGATTGACTGACGGCTGGAAGGGTTGACGGATTCTGGCAGCGGGTCAGTCAAGTAAACGGTTTCCGTTTCGGAGGATGGCGAAGGGGCGGGTGCCGGCGCAACGCGAATGGCGATTGCTGGCGACGTGAGTAGGGAAACAAGCGCGGCGAAGAGAACTAACTGACGCAGGGTAACCAGACTTCGCGAGTGCGCGACAATCGTCGCCATGCCTAGATGCACGAAATGGGCATGCGACGTTCGCAAAACTCGTTCCCGCTGTTCTCCACAGACCGTGTTGCTCTTTCGCTTAAATCCGCCGCTCGTGACGGCACTCACTAACCGTTACGCAGGTCAGCAAGAGTGTCGTTCTCCTTTGATCTGATCTCAAAGCGAGGCGACAGATTTGATCCCAAGCCCTCTGTTTCTCAATGCTCCGGCTTCTGCGACTCTGTTTGAAACCACTTCTAGCGCGCACGCAAAGGGTCGGCAAGCGGAGGGACACGCGGGACGGCTACTGGCGCACTAGAGAGGACTACTATAACAATGCGTGCTTTTTCTAGTCGACTCAAAAATCAACGGAAGGACTATCCCTGTGCTTTCGAGATTGTCGATTGAGTGAATGCATATATGATCGGCTGATGGTATGCAGGTGTACGCGGGAAGGAAAGTAGGTGCGATACTAGCAAGGATGGCCAAGCCGCGGGCGGCAGATCCGCTTTGAGGAGCTATCTCGTGCACTATCGCGAAGATGCGTATAGCGAGAACTTCTGATAAAGTCGGTGCGTGGAGGATGGAAGGTAAGCGTATGCCACCTTCCCCTTCCCAAATGTGTACGCGCAGCGCAACCTCAAGGCGGCTGGTGGCGCGAATTGGGTTGTTTGCAACCAGGGCTGTCGATATCCCTGGGGGCAGAACTTGAGGCCCCCAGCTGCTGAGATTCTGACCCTGATTTTCAGGGAGGTGACCGAATTTTCGCCCTTAACGGTCACGGGTGCAGGCCGAAGTGTACCTTGAAATCCGGGCTCCAATGTGTTGTGTACTTAACTAACCTAAACAGCATCATAGACAAGAAAATCACATACTTCTCACTACTAACTACTCCAGTCAACCTGTATGTCACAACTTCCAACTACAACTACAGTTGCACTACCTACTGTATTTCTACTCATCTCCTGACTTCGACACTACACAAACACTAGATTGGATAAAATCGAGTGAAACATCCTTACCTGTAGCCCTATTGTGCAACTTTCATGGAGAGGGGGGGTAGAGGAGGGGGGTGTTAGGCAAGATTTTAGGGGGTGGTCTGCGGAACCGAAAGTAGAACTTAGATTCAGGGGATGGCCCAGATTGAGCACTTAACGCGTCCGGGGAAGGGCCAAACGATGCCCTTAACTAGCATGGGTGCTAGTCTAATAAAGCCCTTAAAATGGTCGAGATGCGCCGAACATAGCCCAGAATGTTCAGGGCATTAAGGGCAAATGCCCTTGAATCGACAGTCCTGTTTGCAACCCCCACCCTCCCCCTCATCCCCGCGCGAGGGCCAGAAATCAGTGCGGCTGGTTGGTGGAGTGGCTTGGTTGCGGGGCGGGCTGAATGGGGCGAGATCGACGGCGGAAAGAGGAACTTCAGGAGAAATTGCTGATGGTTGTTCTGGGTGCAGTCAGCCCGTCACCTGCGTCATCTTTTTGTTGTGGCGCGCTTTGTCACGCTAGTTGTGATTGGTTGGTGATGCTCGGCCAACGCTGCGACGCGTCAACATGATGAGCATCATGATGTGTTTTCCGCACCAACACTGCACCGTGCTCCCTGTCCTACCTCCACACCGCCCGCTGCACCGTCGGAAACGCATGTAGCGCAACATGCGCTGTGCTGCCGAGCAGTTGGAATATATTTCACGTCGGTGCTGTTCGGTCTGTTGCTCAGTTGTTTTGTTGTACACAGGAAGCGCGTTTGACTCTTACAGCTTTTCCCGTCATTTGAGTGTTTGATGAGCAGCTTTGTTTCGCTTCCTCGCCAACATTCGCCACGGGAAAAATCGGGACTGTAGTGGGCAGGTGAATAAATGTAACCAGCTTCTTCAAAATATCTCGCGAACGGACGGATGCCAGCGTGATAAGCTGCCTGTTCAACGGCTGCGATCAAAATAGGGCCTGTATTGTGCGTGCAGCTGGCTAGTACTACTTGCAATTGGGCAGGCTGTCGAGCTTGGACAAACCAAATTTGCGTGCAGTTGTTGAGCATCCTACCATTGTTTCAGTCATGCCTGTCGATTCACGGACATTTGTCCGTTTTCCCTGAGAATTCAGGGTTAGTTTCAGCTCAGCTCAGAGATTTTCAGGGCTGGTTTTTTTCCCAGCCTGGATTTAGCGGACAGATTTTGGGGCTCCCCGGATTTCCGTACCTGCCACCCCCCTTCCCCTCACCCCCTCTCTTCCTCACCTTAGACCGCGAACTTGTCCTCTCCCACTCCCCCCAACAACACCAGCCCCCCATGTCCCACTAACGTATGCTGCTCCTTAGTGTGGTGTAGCTCGATAACTTAGCTTTATTCTCAGAGCCGGAAATATGAATGCCCTGATTTTACGACCGCTTCCCGGATAGCTCAGGTTTGTTTTCGAGACAGCTCAACTTCTTACGGTTTGGACCCAGACCAATCGACAGCCCTGGTTTCAGTCCCTGGCTGGTGGCACAGTGTGCTGTGCTCATGATTGCACACCTGAAGCCCAGGTTACTTTTCACCTGAGATGTGTCGCGTACAGGGCCTCAGATTGGTTTCAGGCTAGGCTGAAAGATCAGAGTTGGTACAAAATTCTATGCTGAAAAACAGAGAAATCAGCCCATTTTATGCCATTTTACACTACAAATATAGTAAAAAATCCTGTTTCTTCCCAAAAAATTGCTGGAAAATCAGCCTCGATTCTGAAAAAGGTCTGAAATCTCAGCCTTTTTTACTTAAATCAGCCTTTTTTCGCTGACTTCTGAGGCCCTGGTCGCGTACCAAAAAATAAAGCAATCCGCTAATGAACGAGGACCAGCCAATAAAATTCAATATGTTACAACTTCTGTTTTCACAGGAAATACTTCTTCAATCTATTGCCTGAGAGTGTTATTATGCATAAATAATCAGCTGCTAAGACTCATCAATGGAGCCGGTCCAGGCGCAGGGACACAAGACTGCTTGTCAACCGTCGGCACATATCCGGCATCACAGTCGCATGAAGGGTTCCTTCCAGGACCAAACCAGCACGATCCATGCCCACCGCACGTTGCCACATCAGCGCCGCAAAACCGCTTACACGTGGAATTTGCCACCTGCTTCTCAACCTTGTTTGCCAGCACGCACGGACTACCTGGCGGGTACTTCAAACAATTATACGCCAAGGAAGACTGGTAGAAGATCCCACGGCGAGTTTGATCCGTGGGGCATTTGGTAACCGCGCCGGCCGTTACGGACGCGGTTCCGTGGAAGAAGTTGTGGTGCATGTTGTATTGGCCGGCTGTGAGCAATGTACTGTTGAGGAATCCTGTGGGGAGTGGACCGGAAAACTGGTTGTCGTGTAGGTTGCTGGTGGGTGGGTAGGAGGAAGGGGAGCAACGTCTGAGTTAAATTGGTTGGAAGAAGTTGTGGAGCTTGTTGTATTGGCCGGCCGTGAGCGATGTGCTGTTGAGAAAGCCGTGGGGAGCGACTTTTGAGGAGCCTCAAATGATGTATTCAACAGCTGTGCCATGCAGAAGGAATGGGTAAAAAGATTTGAGCTGGATGGTTGGTTGGCTGCGGTTGAGCTTCAAGCAAGGAGTTTTGGATGCATGAAAGTGCATGCTTGAAGATGGACGGATTAGAAACGGGTAGAAAGGTGAGACGGTTTGAGAGCCTAAGTAATGGCAAACGTAACAGCTGAAAGAGTTGACACAAGTGGTTGCAGGGAGGGTGAAACAAGTGGGTGTAGCGCAAAGGAGTGACACAGGAGAGACTAACACGAGAGAGAGCTGAGGAAGCTGCAGAATGCCTGAGGGAAAGCTTCCGTAGAAGCGGTTGCCCTCCAGATAGCTGAGAGGGATAGTGTGAGAGTGAGCGGGAGAGATGGTGTGAGGAGAGTGTGGAAGGTAAAGCTTTTGTGCTCTGACAACCACCAAGAAGACTTAGGAGAGTGGGAGCACCAGGCAACGGAGAAGAGAAGCAGTGGAAGAGCACGAGCCGCGTGAGTCCCCTCCCTCAAGATCTCTCATTACAAATGCGCAAGAGAAGCACAGCCTTACAGCACAGGAACAAGCATCTATTGAAGCAAGGGCGTACAGCACGGTGAACAAGCATCTATTGAAGCAAGGGCGTACAGCACGGTGAACAAGCATCTATTGAAGCAAGGGCGTACAGCACGGTGAACAAGCATCTATTGAAGCAAGGGCGTACAGCACGGTGAGCGCCTTGAGGTTGCTGAGGCCCTGTGGGATGGAGCCGGTGAAGCGACAGTTGTCCATCAGACTGGGGTGAGGGGAGGGATGGGAGGGGAAGGGCGAGGGTGAAGGGAAAAGGGAAGGTGGGATGGAGCCGGTGAAGCGACAGTTGTCCATCAGACTGTTGACGGGGAGGGGGAATCGGGCAAGGATGTCAAGGAGAGAAATTGGTTGACGTTGGGTGGAGAGAGCAGTGGTACAGCCAACGTCAACCAATTTCTCAGAGTTTGGCAGGGAGTTGGGGGGTGGGGTGGTGTTGTGGACAGTGGAAGGATCATGCCTTGTGTGGGTAAGGGTGGGGGATGGGGACAAACGCTGACGCACGCTGCTATAAGGGATGATGCAGAGGGATGGCGCAGAGGCATGGCGCAAAGGGGCATGGTGTGACACATGGCAGCAATCATTTGCATGTCATGTTTCATGATCTCATGGCATATCGTGGCATGGCATGGCATGGCATGGCATGGCATGGCATATGGTGGTATGTGGTGGGCAGCAGGAAGGGGGCGTGACTGACATGCGGGAGAGGCGAGTGAGAGAGGACAGGTAGGGGGCTTGGCAGGGCAGGAAGGGGGCGTGACTGACATGCGGGAGAGGCGAGTGAGCTTGGTGATGGAATCAGGCATGGTGCCGTTGAAGGCTGCAAACTCCATCACGCTGGAATGTGGGGGGACGAGGGAGGGAGGGAGGAGGAGGGGAGTGGTGCACAGGAAAGGATGGGCGAGGGGGGGGTTGGAGGAGGGAAACAGGACGAGGGGAGAAGGAGAAGAAGAGAAAAGGATAAATTATTACCACATATTTGTCACACTGTGCTTGTGCTGAAGTTAATTGCACATGCGGGGGGGATCTGAAAGAGACAATCTGGGCATTGCTTCCCATGCAGGGCACTCACAAGTCCGTGAGGCTGACCATGTTGCCCAGGTCTGATGGCAGAGGGCCATCCAGGTAGGGGTTGCTGCTCATGAAGCTGATGGAGGGGGGCGGAAAGAGGGGAGGAGGGGAGGGGAGGTAGGAAAAGGCGCACGAGATGAGTGACTAGCAGAGGGCCGTCCAGATAGGGGTTGCTGCTCATGAAGCTGATTGGGGGGGGGGGGGGGAGGAGAGGAGGGGAGAGAGAGGTGCAAGAGGTGAGCGAGTTCAGGTGCGATTAAAGTGAGGGCCGTCCAGATAGGGGCTGCTGCTGCTGCTCATAAAGCATACGGGGGAGGGTGGGGGCGATGAGGGAGAGGAGAGGGACGACTAAGAATGAGGTGGCAGGGGAGGTATGGGGAGGGTGGGGAGGTCGGTTCGGTGCATGTCAAGGTGAAGAGAAGAAACTACGAGGGAGAGAGGGGGGAGAGAGGAGAGAGTAGAGAGGGCATGGAGAGGAGAGGCGAGAGGGCTGGGAGGGCTGGGAGGACGGTGAGGGAAGAGAGGGCTGTGAGGGCGGAGAGAAGAGGGAGAGAGAGGTTGAATGACAGGATGCGGAGGTTGGTGAGGGGGGTGATGGTGGCGGGCAGTGGGCAGAGAGGGAAGAGGGCGGAGAGAACAGCAGGGGCAGAGAGTGGGCACGGGAGGGCGGGAGGCTGACAGGATGCGCAGGCTGGTGAGGGAGGTGATGGTGGCGGGCAGAGGGCCTTGCAGACTGTTCTGATTGATGAACCTGCCCGGCACGAGTGATACGGGGAGGGGAGAAGGTGACGCGGGGAGAGGCAGGGGGGGGAGGGGGGACGGCAGGAACCAGGTGAGGTGAGGGAAACACGTGTGGGCAGCAGGGAAAGGCCCCAACGTCCTTGAGGCGACTCAAACCACGTCCTTGAGGCGACTCAAACAACGTCCTTGAGGCGACTCAAACAACGTCCTTGCACAAGGCACAGACAAGACAACAACCCTCCCTCTAGAAACGCACGGTGTTTTTGAGAAGTCTCAAAAGCACCGTGCAGCATCCTGGCCAAAGGTGTTGTGTTGCAGAAGGCACAGGGTGCATTCCTGGTTGGTGGCAGGGCAACTGTTCACATCGAGTTGGTGGCAAGTGTACCCAAAAATTCAGTGGGCCGGAAAATGCGCTTGCCACCAACAGTTGCCCTGCCACCAACTCAGGAATGCACCCACAGACAACCTCCCTCCGTCTAGGAACGCCCCACCCCCCCTCCAGGTAAACACATAAGGCTCAGTGCTCTGCTACAAGAGGCCCTTTGCTTTGAGCTGGCGTTTTAGAATTCTCAAAATCCATGCTTTTCACCTCACCCAGAGTAAAGCTGTTTTGAGGCGACTCAGAACTGATTTTGTTTCGCCAAGCATGGCATGAAGAGCACATGGCACATGAAGAGCACATGGCACATGAAGAGCACATCACACGTACAGGTTCTGCAGCAGGGGCAAATTGCCTATGGTGCTGGGGAGAGTGCCGGTGAACCAGTTGGTGTCTATGTAGCTGCGGAGGGCCGGGAGGGGAGAGGACGCAGGTGGGTGGGCATGGGGAAGAGAGGAGAGGCCCGGGGTACGAGGGGACAGGGGGAGAGAGGGAAGGCGCACGCAGGGGGAGGAGCACGCAGGGGGAGGAGCACGCAGGGGGAGGAGCACGCAGGGGGAGGAGCACGCAGGGGGAGGAGCACGCAGGGGGAGGAGCACGCAGGGGGAGGAGCACGCAGGAGGGGAGAGGAGATTTGATGAAGGGGATGGAACCAGTGCCAAGGAGAAAGGCACGCGGGAGCATAAGCCCTGGACTGTATGAACAATAGGGGCGAGTCTGACTGGGAGGGGAGGGACCGTGCAGTAAGGGTAGTGGGCGTGGAGGGGAGAAGCAGGGGTGCTAGTTGCAGGTAATAACTAATAAGCATGGAGGGGAGCGGGAGGGACAGGCGAATCGGTGCAGTGCAACTTACCGGCCCGGCCCCATATGCTAGTTAAAGCTCACAGGTAGTATGCGTTCTTGAGATTGCTGATGCACTCGGGGACAGTTTCAGACATGTCTAGAACTTAGCATAGCTCACTGAGACATGTCTGAAACTTAGCATAGCACTCACAGGTAGTATGCGTTCTTGAGATTGCTGATGCACTCAGGGACGGTGCCAGAGAAGTGATTGTAGCTGATGCGCCTGTAGTGAAAGGGCGCAGTGAAGAAGGGAAGGGGGATGAGAGGGGGAGGGACGGGCATGCGCAGGCAACAGAAAAGCATTTTGTTTCCATAACAGTGATAATGAATCATTTCTTTATTCCCACATGTTGATTTCCACAATACCGCGCTCAGATGCAAATCACTTGAGCCAAGGCAGCACTCGCGCCGCTCATATGCACGTCATGGTGCAGACCAGAGCACAGTGGGAACGGGGCCTTGAGCCATCTGGCAGTTCACAGCAGCGCGCAGCATAGCACATCACCGCACAGAAGCGCACATCAGCGCCCAGTGCAGGGCAGGTATCGAGAGAAGAGTGCTTACAGCTCCCAGAGGGTCGTCATGTTGCAAAGGACAGGAGGGAAGGGGCCTGACAGCAGGTTGCTTGACACATAGCTGATTTGGGGGGGGAGGGGGGTGGTGAGAATGGGGGAGTGGAAGGAAGAATGAGGGAAGAGGTGAAGCAGAAGGTGAGAGGGAGAAGGGGAAGGGGGAAGGGGGAAGGGGGAGTGGCGGGAGTGGAGAGCTTTGAGATGCGTCAGGAGCTTTTGAAACGCGTTCCTGGCACGGCCGCAAGCAAGGCAAGGCACGACTCCCAATTTGAGCAGGGTGGTGAGCTGGGAGACGTACCTAGGATTTTTGGACTGGTAAAGCAGTTGGAGGGAGGGGAAGGTAGCACACTCACAATTTGCGCATGCCAGTGAGCTGGGAGAACGAATCTGGTATGCCTCCCGTGAGGTGGCTGTGAGGTGGCTGTGAGGCGGATGTGAGGTGGCTGTGAGGTGGATGTGAGGTGGATGTGAGGTGGATGAGAGGTGGATGTGAGGTGGATGTGAGGTGGATGTGAGGTGGCTGTGAGGTGGCTGTGAGGTGGATGTGAGGTGGATGAGAGGTGGATGTGAGGTGGCTGTGAGGTGGATGTGTGGTGGATGTGAGGTGGATGTGAGGTGGCTGTGAGCTACTGGTGACTCACAAAATTGTGACTCACAATTTGCGCATGCCAGTGAGCTGGGAGAATGAATCTGGAATGCCTCCCGCGAGGTAGTTGAGGTTCAGGTGGCTGCAAAGGGTGAGGTGCATTACAGAGGGGTTTAAAACGGCTGAGAAGGGTGAGGTGCGAAGGGTGGTGGAAAAACGGGAGGAATGAGAGAAGCGAGAGGGGTGGGAAGGGGTTTAAATGGAACGGCAGCAGGGGAGCAGCACGTTGGAGCAGAATACTCTACTGCCAATAACCATGGGTTGGACGAGTTGAGCAATGGAGAGTGGAGGGTTAGACCGTTAAACTTGCTGCCGTCACCATGTCGCCACTGCATTCCCACGAGTTTTGAGACGTCTCAGAATGAGGGGCGGGGGCCGTCGCCATGTGTCTATTGCATTCCCACTCCGGTCGCAACTGTTACTCCCTCCACACTCACAGCCACCACTCCCCTCGCCACACTCACAGGCACACACTCACAGCTGGTACAGGCTCCTCATGTTGCCCATGGAGGGCGGGATGGTGCCGTTGAGGTAGTTCTTGAACAGCTGCCTGCAGGGGGACGGGTGTGGGGGGCGGGGGCGAGGGGAGATGGAATAAGAGAGCGAAGTGAGAGGGAGTGGTGAGAGGTGCGCATGTTGCCCATGGAGGGCGGGATGGTGCCGTTGAGGTAGTTCTTGAACAGCTGCCTGCAGGGGGGGAGGGAGGGGAGGGGAGGGGGGAGGGTGGGGGGAGAGATGTTGCGAGTGAGAGGTGAGCATATCACGAGGCAAGCTGGAAGGGAGGGAAAGGCGCAGATAAGATTGGTTTTGAGACGTCTGAAAACCAATCTTCATACACGTAGAGATGTTGCGAGTGAGAGAGAGGTGAGCATATCACAAGGCAGGCTGGAAGGGAGGGAAAGGCGCAGAGAACAGGGAAATGAAGCGGGAGAGAGAGGCAGTGCGAGTGATGGGAGGCGAGGGAGAGGCTCTAGAGCCGTGTAAGGGAGCAAACGGTTTACAGCATTGTGGCGCGCAGTTGGCAGTGGGCTGGCAGTGGGCGGGCAACAGTGAGTCAAGGGGTGCAGTGGCAGTGAGAGGCGTTGAGAGGCGGTGAGAGGCGGTGAGAGGCGGTGAGAGGCGGTGAGAGGCGGTGAGAGGCGGTGAGAGGTGGTGAGGGGGCACTGACAGGTTCTTGAGGTTGACGAGGTTGCTGAAGGAGTTGGGGATGTCTCCGTGGATCCAATTCGTGGTCGCGATGCTGGTGGGGGTTTGGGAGGCGAGGGGCGGGGATGGATGGAGCAGCCAGGACACAGCGGAGGCCACGTGAAGTGGGGGTGTTTTTGAGACGTCTCAAAACCACCCTCACTTCACGAGGATGGAGCAGCCAGGACACAGCGGAGGGGACAGAACGATCATGGCAATCCCAAGGGAGACAGAGCGGCGCCTGCCCATAGGATGTGGAGTGGATGCTAAACTGCCGTGCGCGGTGCGGTCGGAAGCGAGGCAACGATTGGTTTTCGGAGCTCTCACGTCCATGTGGGGCTCACGAAGAGAGAGAGGGGGAGGGGGAGGGCAGGGAGAAAAGGGGAGCTGTGGAAGCCAGCACTCTTGCAGCTCATCCAGCGAGGTGAGGTTCCCCAGCACGGTCGGCAGCGTGCCCTTGATGCCTTTGGAGCTCACGTCCATGCGACGCAGCAGCCCGTTGCTCCAACACGTGACAAGGGGAGGGAGAGAGAGAGAAGGGAGGGGCTGTGGAGGGGCGCACGCTTACAACTCTTCCAGGCTGGTTAGATTGCCGATGACGGACGGCAGCGTGCCCTTGGAGCTCACGTCCATGCGACGCAGCAGCCCGTTGCTCCAACACGTGACGAGCCTTATGGGGTGAGAGGGAGGAGGGGAGAAGCATGAGGGGGGGCACTTACAGTTCTTCCAGCGAGGTGAGATTTCCAAGCACGGACGGCAGCGTGCCCTTGATGCCTTTAGAGCTCACGTCCATGCGGCGCAGCAGCCCGTTGCTCCAACACGTGACGAGCCACCAGCGGCTGCACGGGTTGCTGCCGTTCCACGACCGCAGGTCCATGTAGCTGCCCCATGCTGCCCGTAGCTCCATCAGCGCGGGGACTGGGCTGGGGGAAGGCGGAAGGAGCACGCGGAAGGAAGGTAAAGAGAGGGAGGGGGGGGCGAGAGAGGTTGCTGCCGTTCCACGACCGCAGGTCCATGTAGCTGCCCCATGCTGCCCGTAGCTCCATCAGCGCGGGGACTGGGCTGGGGGAAGGCGGAAGGAGCACGCGGAAGGAAGGTAAAGAGAGGGAGGGGGGGGCGAGAGAGGTTGCTGCCGTTCCACGACCGCAGGTCCATGTAGCTGCCCCATGCTGCGCGCAGCTCCATCAGCGCGGGGACTGCGAGTATGAGGAGGGAGGGTGGGGAGGGGAGGAGAGAGGTTGCTGCCGTTCCACGACCGCAGGTCCATTCAGGTGCCCCATGCTGCCCGTAGCTCCATCGGCGCGGGGACTGGGGGGTGTGGGGGGAAGGTGGGGGGAAGGGGGAGTAGGGGAAGAGGACGGAGCACGAGGAAACGAAGGGTGAGGGGAGAAGCGGGGTGGGAAGGGGACGAAGAGGTTGTTGCCGTTCCACGACCGCAGGTCCATGAAGTTATCCCACACTGGGCGCAGCTTGTTTTGAGACGTCTCAAAACACGTTCCACGACCGCAGGTCCATGAAGCTATCCCACACTGGGCGCAGCTCCATCCGTGCGGGAACCAGGGGGAGGCGGCGGAAAGGAAGGGGAGATGCATCAGTGCAGTGCGGAGTGCGGTGGAATTGGAAACGAGGGTGCAGTGAGTAGTACAAAGGTGGGTAGCAGGAGGTTTGACCTATCACCGGCAGTGCGCGTGCGTGGTCTCAATAACGAGCAGTGAGAGAACGGGTCGTTGAATTGTGTTTGTGAGACGTCTCAAAACGTGGTATCAATGGCGTGCGGTGGGAACGGGTCGTTACGTTGTGACGGTGCGACGTAGACGGGCCTCGCGAGCGGGGTGACTTTGAAGGCGGAAGTTGCTGAGGCGAAGAGCAGGACGAGCAATGCCGCGCGGAGCAACGCACGTAGCGGCAAGAAAACGCGGTCACAGCGCGCCGATATCGACCGCGGCCTTGACAGGGATAGTATGGAAGGTTGCCTCATGGTGAGGACCGGTTGACAACGGTGAAGCAAACTCGGCGAAGAAGCCTTTTTGAATGAGAGGACGACGAGACGAGGGGAGGGCGGGGAAGGCAGTATGGCTTGAAGACAGGGAATAATATAAGATGGCGATTAAGAAGTGCTTTCTCAATGTAAGTGGGCCACTAAGATGCGGCACTAGCTCCTGCGACAAAAGAGGATATAAATGAGCACCCTTCCTTGTTTTGACTAGACAGAAATGTCAGATACCTATCGCGGATTCTCAACATTGTTAATTCAAGACTCCTAAACGACGACACGTATCCATTAGTTTGACAGCTCTCGGGAATCAGGAATATTGGTGAACAAGAACCAAGAAAAGCTTCAAACAACCCACTTATTCCCAAGTTGGGCCATCAACGTTCATGGCGGTGTGCGTGTGTGCTGCTTGCTAGCTGGCTGTGCAATGGAGAAATCGATGGCAGCTCTAGGCGATTCGAAATGTGTACATTCCGTGAATTCGCACAGGTACGACGACGCAGCCTCGCACTGCTGATCGCATAGTTTCGAAGCGCCTATGGTTGGTTGGTGGAGCAGACACCGAATGCCTGTCGCAGGTCCGGTTGTTGGGCTCTGAGAGCATAACACCTCCTCTGGAATGCCAATTGCTTGTTCCACCACATGCTGATGTGCATCTCAGATAAAAGTCGTACTTGTCTGTGCAAACCTCCCATCAACCTAAAGTTCGGTCAAGCTCAAAAAGGGGATGGTTATTACCAAGGTAATACATCTCCTAGGCCCTTCCCCACCAATGCAGGCAGAAATGCGGCTGACATGGATTTCCTAGAATGGGTAAGGCTTGCACATGCCATCACCAGCCACCACGGCGGAACTAGTTTCCCTACTAACTACGGTAGCATGCCTCCCGGATAAACCAAGTAATCTAAATCAGCTCTCCAATGGCGCCTAACCAACCTAAGCCCTGCAAATGCAACTCGTCAGTGAGTTAATCTACGAGCACATCACCGTCACTTGATCACCTTGAACGGCCGCATCATGTCGTTATCCTCGTGATCCAGCATGTGGCAATGGTACACGTAGCCAGGGCCAGCAGACACGTCGAACGGGAAAGCCTTGCCCATACTATCCATCCAGGGGAACAAGAGCGTCAGCACCTGACCGGGGTACGCCGTGGTGGTGTCCTTCCACCCGTTCTCAGTGGGGTCGATGCGAACCCGCGGGCCCGTCCAGCAGCGCGGGAGCTTGTTGCCACGGAACGCGCACTTGCCGGACTGGAACGCGGCGACGTTGAAGGGGCGGCGGGAGATGGGGCGGTGGTCGATGAGGTGGAAGTGCATGGGGTGCGCGTCGGCCGACAGGTTGATGATGTGCCACAGCTCGTTCGTGCCCTGCCGGGGAAGCGGATGAAAAGGCGACGGAAGGGAATATCAAGCCTCGGAGTGTGCAGCAATCGACTCAGAAATCACAAACAGGGGTGCGTGGTTGTGCTGACAGCAGGTGGTAGCGCTGACCTGCTTGGGAAAGTCTCTGGGGGGGTCCATGAAGCCGAGGTTGTCGATGGTGACGCGGACGGGCAGGTTCGTCTTGGGGTCCATCTCCTCCACCAGCCGGTGCCAGCGAACCTTGGCGACATTCTTGAAGTCGATCGGCGGCATGCCCTGCCATGCGAGAACGTGGAGGGGGAAAAGATCACGGTGAAGACCTGTACCGGTGGTTTTCAAATATACGAGAACAGCCACGGTAAGATATGAAAACGTATGGGTTCCGTGTATGTACCACGATGGAGCTGGGGACTTTCGCGCCGGGGATGCGCTTTTTGTTAGTGATGACGAAGCGCATGACAAGCCCGGTGTCGCGGTCAGCCGTCACACCAGCGGGGAAAGGCGCGGACGCGGTGTTCTGCAGAATCACGTCCTTGCACGTGGCGGGCAGGCTGGAGAAGTCAACCAACACGTCCTGGCGAGCGCCCGGAATGAGCAGCACCGACTTGGAGGTTACCGGCTTCCCCAAATAGCCTCCGTCGGTGGCAATCTGCGCGTTGGAAGGGAACGTGTTAGCACGTGCTTGCTTAGGAAATCCGGTCGCAATGTGACGAGCGTAGTCAGTATTTCTACTTACGCTGACGATGTCGAGAACCTGGCCCTTGAGCGGCGGCACGAAGTTGGGGTAGTCGCCGCGCTGTGCGCAAACGAACTGCAGATTGTAGAAACGCGCGTTCGCCGCACCCAGCATCTTGAACCGGTACACCGCAGGCCGGACCTTGAGGTACGGCCAAACGACGCCGTTGACCATGTTGGTGTCGCCGAGGTACTCGGGAATCCAGTTGGGGTGCACATTCGGCACAATGCCCACGTTCGGGTAGTTCACCGAGCCGTTGGCGAAGAACAGCCGATCCGCGATGGCGAGCGGGACGGTTCGGGAGGCGGGCGGCAGCCAAGTGAACTTGGACTCGAGCTTGGGGTCCGTGATAATGTACAGCCCCGCGAGACCGGCGGCGACGTTGAGGCGCGTCATGCCTACCATGTGGTCGTGGTACCATATGGTCGACGCCTCGTCGTTCACATACTTGAACGTGCTGTTAAAGAAGGTCGGGCCTTTCTCGCCGTACTGCGTGAACCACGCGAGAGGGTGGCCGTCGTAGTAGCTCTGCTGGGAGCCGCCGTGGCGATGCACAACTGCAGGGCCAATAGGGAAGAGAAAGAAGAGTCAGACCGGATGCGCGAACGGAGTACTATTGCGAGCGCGCGACACGAACGCGAAAAGTATATACGGAAGGAGAGTTACTTCACCCATTCTGGGTCACGCTCTTACCGATGGGAATGCCCTTCTTGGGGACTTTGACGCCCATCATGATGGTGCGATCGACGGTGAACATGTGCGTGTTGTCGAGCAGATGGTTCTCCCACGTCACCGTCGTGTCGATGCCCACCTTGGCCACGATGGTGGGGCCGGGGTACGACGCCGTCTTCTGACTCGTGCCGTACGCGTACTGCTTCGTCGCCGGCAGATCGCGATGGAATTTCTGCCACGTGAACAAGGGAGAACTTAGAGTCAGCCGGCGGGGCGCATTCTGCGTTCTCGTCATGAAAAGAGCAGAATCTTGGGAATAACATGCCAGAGGTAGTCGTTTGTTGTAATGGGTGCAGGAGAGAGTTACCTGGTAGATCTGATAGGCGCCAATGGTGAGCGGCCTGGTGCCATCGAGGGTGGGGATAACGCGTGTGGTCAAACTGTCAACGAACTTGCACAGCGGTCTCTGAGGGAACGCGTTCTTGCACTTGGGGCCTGCTGTGGCCGTGGGAGTAGGAGCAACGGCTGCATTGGCAATGTAGGCTAAAGCAAGGACGGCAAATAGAGCGAGCGTACAGCGATTAGCGCGACCCATGGTGTGCCTCGGTGATAGTGGTACTGAGTGAATTGCGTGGACTTTCTCTGGGAAAGCAGCCACAACTAGCTCTTTTATGTTGCAAGGGTTGTGCTGGTGGTAGTGACGAAGGCAGGTCAGTCCGTGATCGTGCATCCACGCGGGTGCTTGTGTTGGAGCATGCCGAGTCGCGATAATCGAGCCGCCCCACAAGCAAGTGCACCCGTGAATATGCGGATTTGAATTTTGCGTGGGCTGAAGGGAGTGACTCGCGAGCCAGGAAGCCCGGCTCGGTTGTGTTCTTCTATCGGATGCCGTGCGATGAGGCACACGCAGAATTCCATCATGGTTGGATAAGTGCTTGTTGTGACAGATGGTTCGGTAGCTCTGGTTGGAATCGTACGGATCAAAGTAGCTGTAGGCCAATCGCTGAAAGGGGTTGTGCTTATGACCGTCAAGCGCACGTAGAGTCCCATTGACTTCGATTGTTCGTTTTACAATAACATTCCTAAGTCAAGGAGAGACTCGATACGATCCGCGCTGGACCAGGTCAGCTGTGAAACCCTTGAAATACATTATGATAAGGGCCATAAGTATACTTAGTGCTTAGCACTAGGGCACGTCCCCTCCTAACGCATCGATCGGTCGCGCACTCAAAGAGGGCCAACAGTAACCTAATTCACATTAAACATATTATAGATTCACAGTCGTCCGCACCGCCTCGTTCACCATGCATAGATTAAAAACTATAATCTCGTACAACGGCATCCACATAAATCTGATTCTTGACGTGTTTTATTATCAGGTGTGCCCGGCGTTGTTGTTTGCTCGATTTACGATAAATATAGTTTGCATTATCATTTGAGGGTGCTCTATACATAGTAAATGCTGTCAGAAATATACATATATTATAAATTATTAGAATTGTCTATATGCAAGCTAGTGTAGTTTGTGTGACGTTCTTGTGTCAAAATATATTTGTATATTCTTAATTGTGCTAGGCTACATTGAGGTGCTCAGTATATGGTACAACTCCGGTTAGGGTATCATACTTGTGTCTCCCTATTGCTATGCATTCATCAATCATGTCTTCCTACTTTAACATGGTTTCAAAGCATGATCGTTCCTAAGGCCCACCGAACGTTCCGCTCTGCCCTGCCCGTAATTTTTTTCCGCCCTGCCCTTAGGCCCGCGCGCAGCCCTGTGCTGCAGCCCGCACGCAGCCTTGCACTGAAGCCAACGAGCTGCGCTGCCCTGCCCTTAGGCCCATGCGCCCCCCTGCCCTACAGCCCGTGCTCGCCTCTGCAGCCCGCACTCGCCCCTGCAGCTGCGCTCGCCCCCTTGCCCGCGCTTACCACTGCAGCTCGCATTCGCCCCCACAGCCCGCGCTCACCCCTGCAACATGCGCTCGCCCCTGCAGTCGCGCTTGCCCCTGCAGCCCGTGCTCGCCCCTGCAGTCGTGCTCACCCCTGCAGCCTGCGCTCGCCCCTGCAGCTTGCACTCTCCCCTGCAGCCGCGCTCGCCCCTGCAGCCGCGCTCGCCCCTGCAGCCCGCGCTCGCCCCTGCAGCCGTGCTCGCCCCTGCAGCCCGCTCTCGCCCCTGCAGCCGCGCTCGCCTCTGTAGCCCGCGCTCGCCTCTGTAGCCCGCGCTCGCCCCTGCAGCCGCGCTCGCCCCTGCAGCCTGCGCTAACCCCTCCAGCGCACGCTCGTCCCTGGAGCCGTGCTCGCCCCTATAGCCCGCGCTCGCCCCTGCAGTTGCGCTCACCCCTGCAGCCCGCGCTCGCCCCTGCAGTCCGCCCTGCCCTTAGGCCTGCGCGGTGCCCTCCCATGCAACCCGCCCTGACCTTAGGCCTGCGCGTTGGCCTGCCCTGCGGCCCACGAGCTGTGCTGCCCTGCCCTTAGGCCCGTGCGTCGCCCTGCCCTGCAGCCCGCGCGTTGCGCTGCTTTGCCCTTAGGCCCGTGCACCGCCGTGCCCTTAGGCTTGCTGCTGTGCTGCTGCTGCCACCTAAGCTGCAGCTGCTGCCAACTGACTGCCACTGCCTATCATGGCCACTATCACGGTCGTAGCAGCGTCTAGGGGTGGACAGCAGCAGCCACTACCTCACCTAGACACTCTATCGCCACAGCAGCTTCGTGAGTGGGTTATTCAGCGAGGTCGCTACGGTCCTGGAGCTTGGGATTATTTGCGTGCGGGCGGTGCACTTGAGATCCCATATAAATCCTAAGGATGGGTTATAAGCACGTTGTCCTAAGGGGTTATGGGCGCACTCACCCACTACCCTAACAAGCCATTTCATCACAATGGTTAGTGGCTCAGATTCTACCATTGTATTATAGCAAAGGAATCGGGTTCGAATCACAGTATGCAACTCATACATTCTAGCGAGGGGTTTTGGAATAACCGACAGGTTATTTTAACATTCCCATAGGTCCTCCCTTACCGCACCGCGTCATAGCAAAGCAGTGCACCTGTATTACTACCACGCTAGTTCATATGGAGCACACAATGGTGAAGAGTCACGCGAAGGTCAACCGTCTCATAAATTCAACAGTTGCGACTGTTGTCCAACCCGCAACTGTAATCGCAGGTTACACGCTACAACGTGGTAACTGTCGAATATAGCAAAAGACACAATTACTGTAGCAATGCTATACAGGGAATGTACCCCTAGGAGTACGTGGCTAGATAGGATTACTATTTAAACCCTTTGTATCTCTATCTTAATCATCTTGCTCTCTCTCAATTATTATTAACAATTTCGTTCCAAGATTTCGTTGCTTTATCTATGTAAAGAATGAGGAATGAATCAACTAGGAAAGGGGTGGGTACTGTCTGAATATTATGCTATAGCCTGTAGTGGGGTGCTCTATAGCGAGTACAACACTTATAGGGTTTGCTATTTGTATCCTCATTCTTGCTAGTGCAACCCTCTTCTTTCTTCTAAACTTTCACAGGTACAGGTAGAAAAACCAAGAAATGTTGTACCCCATATAGTCTACCCCACTACAGCCTACACACACTATAGCATATGAGTTTGACACACCCCCATAGGCAAAGTGGGGGAGAACAAGAGGTCACAACACCAGTCAAGCAAAGCAAAGCAAAGCTCAGGGTGGATCACAACGTCACCACACGTTCCGAGCACAAGAGCAAGGCCACAAAGCCAGTTCACATGCAAGATCATATATAAAGGTAATCAAGCAAGTGTAGGTAAAGAAAGATCAGAGTACAAGCAAGGTAAAGAAGTGAGCAAGTGAGGCCAAGTAGGCACAAGACCTAGCATCGTACAGAAGCGCTGATGATCACCAGGCGGAAGTGCCTTGCTTAAGATATCAACAGTGTTGCCCTCAGAGGCCACGTAAGCAAGGCGCAGCTAACCATGCGGCTGCAGCTCACGAGCAAGGAAGTAGCGAAGAGCAATGTGCTTCGTTCTGTGCTCTAGTCTGTGCTCCCGACACAAGGCCAGCATGGCCTTGTTGAGCATGTACAGAACTGGAGGAGAACAAAGCGGCTCTCTTAGGTCAGTCAGCAGGTAGGTGAGCCAGCGTAGCTTCTGTGCAGCCATGGCCCCTGCGTAGATCTCAGCCTCACAGCTGGAGTTGAGAACAGAAGACGAGCGGGTAGACCGCCACGAAAAAGAGCCGGAGCCAAGGCTGAAGGTGTAACCCTATGACGATCGCTGCGTAGCCTGGTCGTCAGCCCAAGAAGCATCTGCGTGACCCGTGAGGACCACTTGACTTCGCCCTCCAAGCACTAGCCCCATGCCCGACGTACTGCACAAGTAGCGCAACACCCTCTTCGCTACAGCCATGTGCACAGGTCGGTGTCTCCCAGGAGCAACATAGCGTGCCAAGATGCTAAGAGGGTATGCAAGGTCAGGTCGTGTGCAGGTCATCAAGTACATGAGGTAGCCAACAAGCTGGGTACGGGCCACTCGGTTCTACGGGCCACTCATTTCTACGGCAGAGCTGAGAGCAAGAGACGAGTAGATAGAGGAGTGGCGTGAGGCGAGGAGTACGTGAAGTCGAAGCGCTGAAGGACCTACTGCACCATGTGTGACTGAGTTAGGGTAATGGTGCACTGTGCTCTGTCCTCGGTGATCTGCAAGCCAAGGTAACTTCGCAGTTCACCCAGGTCTGTGCACTTGTGTCTCTTCTACAGCTCGGACTTCACGTGGGCTAGTCCAGCAGTGTCAACAGTGGCGAAGACCAAGTCGTCGACGTACATGAGGACGTAGAACGGCGGCAAAGAGGTGTCGGTGCGCAGCAACAGCGACGGGTCGGCAGTAGAAGGAGCAAACCCAAGAGCCGCAAGTGTAGTCTTTAGTGTGTCGCGCCACTCACGGGGCGCCTGGCGGAGACCATAGACCAACCGCCGGAGGCACCACTGGGTACCAGGAGGAAACGACCCAGTGAAGCCAGGTGGGCGGCGTAGCCAGATCTCCTCGTGAAGGCTGCCCTCTAGGAAAGCAGTGTTGAAGTCAAGAGAGTGAAGCTCGTAGTCGCGCTGAGCGGCTATGTGCAGTAGCACCCGAAGAGTGGTCATCTTCAGGGTGGGAGGGAAGGTATGAAAGTAGTCAACTCCCTGCCGCTGACTGAAGCCTCGAGCCACGTAACGCGCCTTGAAGATAGGCAGAGAACCTGGCGGCTGTTTCACCCTAAAAATCCACATGCCACTGATGATGTTCGCCCCAGGTGGGGGAACCTCGTCGACGTAGGTGCCTGTGGACTTCCACGAAGCCATCTCTGCGTCCATGGCTGCCTGCCATTGAGAGGAGTAGGGACCCTCGATCGCCTCAGCGTACGATCGAGGAGTCGGGATGTCTAGTGCATCCAGGTCTCCCTCAGGGGCAATCAGCGAGGACACGAGATGAGGCAAAGCAGTAGTAAAACACTTGAACTCCTCTTGCCTGTCCTCAAGGATGTCCGTGCTAAGAGCACACTCACCCTCGACGGACGGAGGATAGACAAACTCAGACTCAGCAACGAGACTAGTTGCATAGTCTAGACGATCGCGAGTAG